TGAAGGGTCTCTGATCGTAGTGTCGCGTTAGCAGTATCCTGCAGTAGTGTATGTGACTTAGGTCGTCGGCATCCGGAGGCCGGACATAGGTGCCCTGAAAGTTGTGCAGGAAAGTGTCTTCTAAAACTTCCCAGCTCCCTATGGAGCTCTCTGGGAGGATGTTCAACCAGTGTCATGCTGGTCCCTTCAACTTCAAGGGGAGGTATTTGATGGCTTGGAGGTCATCTCCACAAGCCATGTGAATGTGGAGAAGAAAATCCTCAATCCAGACGGCAGGGTCTGTTGTTCCATCGTACTATTCGATGTTTACGGGTTTAAACCCTTTCAAAAATTGGTGCTGCATTACTTCATCAGTAAAGCACATAGGGTGTGTGGCACCTCTATACCTGGCTACATTGCAACGCAGTTCGGATGACATCTGTGTTCAGTGCTGGCCTCGAACTTGATGATGTTGATCGTGCTAGGTTTGGTGGCCATCATCTCGTGCCGGAGCACGTCCTCTGGATCCATAGATCGATCTGGTCTGACCGGCTTTATTGGCCAGGTCCTGATGTAGGTCGTAAGTGTAGTCCGGTGCCACTCTCTCCTTGCCTCTATGACAAGGTGGTGCGGGCTGGTGTTTGGCATGATAGGACATTTTGTCCCGTCCACGTGGTGGTTGGTCTAGCTGATCAGCATAAATGTATTTTGACGGAATTGGCTCGATGACTTCATCGTCGAATTGTGGCAGCAGCCTACGCTTGGGGTAACTCTTTACCGGTCGCTCAAGGCCGTACTCTTCGGCGGCTAGGAGTTTAGTCCATCTATCATTGAGCGTGTCCTATTCATCTTGAAGCTACTGCTGTTTCTTTCTCAGGCTCCGCGCAGTGGCGATGAGTTGTTGCTTGAAGCATTCTTGTTTGAGGGGTTCCTCTGGGACGATGAAATCTTTGTCACCGAGGCTCACATCCTCTTCGGATGCAGGTAAGTAATTGCTGTCCTTCGAGTCCTCGTGATCAGCATGCTCGGGGCTGTACTGACCCTCCTCCCTCTCGTCCTGTTCGAACATGGGCTCGACGGGGTGGTCTTTGGTGTTGTGCGGAGTTTCATTGTCTTCAGTGCCGGTAGTGCTATCCTTTGCCCGACGCGGTCGTGAGCGGCGCAGCTGACGCCGACGCTTTGGTGGTTCGTCGGCGGGTTTGTCCTTGCCTGGATCTTGAACGCCATACTCGTCCTTTTCATTAGGAGTGTCCACCATGTATACATCATAGGTAGAAGTGGTCGTCCAGCGCCCTGCAGTAGGCGGGTTTTGGCTTTGCTCGGCGTCGACATCATCGTCCATGCCGTCGATGTCTTCGGAGGCGTAGTCTAGCATGTCGGTTAAATCCTCGACAGTGGCTATGAAGTGGGTGGTGGGTGGGGTGTAAAATTCCCCGACCTCAGCCCCCAACATGGGTTGGGTGTAGTTCGGAGACGAAACTGCCGTAATGGCGAGAGATTGCATTAAGCCCAGCGCTTCGTCTAAAAGCGAAAGCTGGATGGGTGTGTGTGGATCTGCGAGGCCGGACACTTGATCGAGTCCCGAGGGCGTAGACCTCAACAGTTTGGAGTTATCTTCCAGAGGTGAGTCCGGCTCTCCGGTGACTGGGAGAGTTCCGTTTGACTCAGATGGCGCGATAGCGTCTGGGTCTCCGGCTGAGAGTCCCCTGATAGAAGAGAGCCCGGAGGGGTTGATCCTCCCGTCCTTGGAAAACGCAATCTGCCCCGGATCTAAGGCTGAGGCAGGTGTGAGCATTGGCCCCTGGACGGGATCTGATAGCGGATCCGAAGGGCCCTCTTTATGAGGGTGGGGAGCAGCAGTCGAGGCCGCGAACCCCTCGAAGATCAAATCCCCTCGGATATCTGCGACATAGTTCAAGTTCCCAAACATGAGCTGGTGACCAAGGGCATAGCTGTCGACCTGCTCGAGGCGGCCGGTCAAGTCGGCGCGTAGCACGAAGCCGCCGAATACGAAGACCTGTCCGGGGAGAAAAGTCTCACTGGACATAGTATCATTTTTAATAAAGAGGCGCACCATCAATCATTTTATTGACAACACAACAGAGCTCTCAATGAAAGCAACAATGTCGGTGTCAAAACCGGCAGATCTCGGGTAGGGGGCCCAAGCTGTATGTCTGAGGATCAACGGTAACAATGGAAAAAGGGACACAATATGTACCTAGCTTCGGGCCCTCTTAAAGGAGGTAAAACCCTACATCCCGCTTGATTGTATTCGATGAGTATAGGGGTTACAAGAGTTGATCTACCTCGAGATTGTGATGGCTAAACCCTATATTGTCTAGCCTATGAATGTTATGATCCTGCCTCCAGTCTAAACCCTCCGGTTTATATAGATAACGGAGGGGCCGAGGGTTGTACAAAGTCGGTTTACAGAGAAAGGAAACAGTATATCCGAACACCTAATCTTGTCGTTCACGCATACAGGAGTCCCAACCGGACATGGGAGGTGGTCTTCTTCCTTCATCTTTACGGCCCATCAGTTCGGCCCATATCGAATAGACCAGATACCTGAGGACCCCTTAGTCCAGGACTCCCTCAGCGGGCTCCGCTTTCCTTTTGGGTGGGCCATGGGTGTAAGAGCCCGAGGTATCTCGTGTCT